TCTTATAAGGAGCCCAAAATAAGGTACCCATTGTTATACTGAGCCCGAAATAATTAAACCCTAGACCCTAAACCCTAAACCCTAAACCCAAAACAAAAAGGAGCCCAAAATAAGGTACCCAGTATGTTCGGAAACTCCCACGGTCCTTCACCGCTCCAGTATCTCGGAGGTGCCGAAGATCCGCGCGGCTCCGAAGATCTGAGCGCCCGTCGAGCTAAAACGCACAGCAGCTCAAATGCTTGAAGTGCTATTTAGGGAGTTCCGCCTTGGTATAAAAAAGGCACAGCTTGGTAAGAAGCTCTTCACGCCATCAGCGCCATGATTGCCCAGCCTTCCAAAACCTGCCTATAGAGCTTTGGGTTTGAGGGTTTTGGGTTCAGGGTTGGTGTGAGGCTGTTTAAGGTTTAGGTTTAGGGATTCCCGTACTGTGAGGCAATTTTGAGGGTTTGCCGAGACTTTACACTGTAGTACACTTTTTGGATAACTTCTTATTATCTTCTGGTTAGGATGTTTTGGTGAACATCGAAACACACCATGACTCCATATATAAGAGGACTGGAACGACTGAACTACCGGCACTACATGACGGAGCGTGAACAGTGCTGCCGGCCTGGTTTGGGGTGTTCCTGTGTTACATGCAGGGCGAAGATGCGGAGTACTGAACGAAATGTATCGGCACTCGAACAGATACCTTGTAGGTTTAAGCTCGTTGATGAGGATGTAACCCACTGTGGGTTTCGAACAGGACTTATCAACTCGACGGTATTTAGCAAGTGACTAGCCATGGTCGCAATGCACTGAGGGCGAGAATCTGAAGCTTCAACCGCCAGCAAGAAGAGTCCTTTGGAAAGTATTCCTGAAGTTATGATGATACAAGAAGCACGCTCGCATGACCCTGGCATGGCTTTTCAAGATCCGATCCGTCATATGCCGATGAGTCCTAGCCGCAGGCATATCCTCATTCCCAGACTCGTCAGAGCTCCCGAGGGATCAAAACCGGAAGCCACAAAGTCTCGTAATGTAGGGGCCTTAATGATTA